GGGGGGGGGGGGGGGGGGCACGTGTGAATGCCACACTTGGTTTATCCATTCATCTGTCTATTGACACTTAGGTTTTTCCACGTGTTGACTACTGTGATTAAGGCTGTTCTGCAGATATTTCTTTGACATAGTGGTTTTATTTCCTTAGACTCCCAGAAGGGGGATTGCTGGAACATATGTACTTCCATTTTTAAGTTTTTGAGAAAACTCCATCCTGTTTTCCACAGTGGCTGTATCCATTTACATGCCCACCAACAGGTATAAGCCTTCCCCTTTCTCCACTGCCTGCCAACACGTGCTATTTTTTGACTTTCTGCTACCAGGAATCCTTACAGGTGTGAAGTGACATCTCATTTGTCAAAAAGATTAAGAGTAGAGAAAAAAAAATAATCACACAGTTGTAGAAGCGCGTGGTCTTCTAAACCAGTGGAATTCAGCTTAGTGAAAGGGGTTCTGCTATGGCACTTTGGGACTCCATGCAGCTTCACTTGTGACTGCCAAGGACACGGTCGGTCAAGGGAGGTGCCTTGGAAGTGCTAAGTCCTCCATGCTTGGAGATGCCCAGGGAACCCAAGGTCTCCCAGCAGGCTCCCATTTAGACTCAAATGCAGGTCAGATCCTGCCAGAGGTGTGGCGCCAGGCATCACTCCGCGGCACTGGTAGTACATGCTCCCCCCGACCCTCCCCCAAGTGCGGACACTGCGGCATGCCTGCCGCCTGGAGGAGCGTGGCTCCTGACCTTGAGCACCCTGGGCAGAGCCTAGGTGAGTCAGACCGGGCATACATCCTAGCTTCCCACCTTACGACCTCCATGTCCTCAACCGTTGGTCAATTTTGCAGCCTCTCATCTCTAAAATGCAAGTATGACACCCTAGTCGCAGAGTTAGAGAGAAGAATCTTAAGCCGGCTTCTGTAAAGCATCAGTCCCCGCGCCGAGCAAAGTACTAACGGTGATAAAGGGCAGTGCCACAGCTCCACGTGAGCGGTTCTCTGTGGGCTACGGAGCGCGGAGGGCTCCCAGCATGGGACGTCTCAATGCCCCAAAACTACGGGCTGGGGGCGGAGTGACGACCCCCGCGAGGCCCTGGAGCCCGCCCACGCCCCTCCGCCACCTCCGGTTCCCCTCCGCCGGGACCCTCCCGGGACCCTCCCCCACCGCTCTACCCCCCCGGCTCTCGACCCCACTGGCTCTAGTCTCCGCTCCTCCCCGCCGCGTCCGCCTCCCGAGGGCAGGAGGGTTGAGAACCCGGATGGAATCAAATGAGCATGCGCACGAGCCCGGTGCCGCTGCCATTGGCCGCCGGCGAGGAGCGTACTAATGACGCATCAGGAAAACACAGGAAGTGTGGCCTACGGGAGCCGAGTTAGGCCCCAAAAGCTCCCGGTTCGGTGCCGCCTGGGCGGGAGGGAATGAATGGGCGCTGAGTTGGGGGCGCGTCCGCTCTGGGGACAGGCGTTAAGCGTGTGAGCGGCCGCAGCATGGAGGACGACGCGCCGGTGATCTACGGGCTGGAGTTCCAGGTGAGTCCCAGCAAGGCCCCCGGCGCCGCGCGTTTGTAGAGCGAGGCCCTCCTGCACCCCCAGCTCCCCCTGTCCCGCTGAGGACCCGGAGGCTTCGGGGGGCTCCTTTACAGGACTTGTTTATCCAGGAAGGCCCTGGGGCCTGCGTGACGCAGGGTGGACGCAGCCCACGACCCCCGGGGAACACCCCGCCGCCCCTCTCCCGGCAGCCCTTGGACGTTGTTTGGGGCCTGATTGCCACCGCTCTCTGCAGGCTGGCTCCTTGTGTGCAATTTCCTCCCGCCTTGGAGCTCCCAGAGGCTGGCGCCGTATCTGTGATTTGGGGGTGGTGGCGGTGAGGGGGTCGTTTAATTTGGACACAGTGTTAAATTTACCTAAGAGTTGCAAAGATAAACGGAAAGTTCTGTTGCACCCTTCGCCCAGCTTCTAATGTTGAGGACTGCAAGACCATGGCACATTGATCAAAGCGTAGAAATCAGCACTGGTATAATCCTATGAACTGAACCACAGACTCTTCGGATCTCACCTCTTTCCCACTAATGTCCTATTTTGCCTCATCCTGTACTCCAGTGCCTGTTCACCGTGATCATCACGTAGTAGGTGCTCAGTAAATGTCTGAAGTGCGTGAGCCCCCACAGTGTAAGCGGTGAAGCAGGAATGCATGTGCGGTTTGGCAGGGCCTCTAGGAAGTCTGTAGGGATGGAGTGGAGGAGTGAGGGGGTATTGGGGGAGCTGGAAGGACAGGTAGGTCGCATTGTGTAGGACCTGGTAGAGCCTTGTGTTGGTTTTCATTTCTTCTGATGGATTTTGAGAACCTGCTTAAGGCACTTAGGGACACATACCAAGAAAACAAACAAAAACAACCTTTGTTCATTGCCCTAGGAAGTATCTGATACATAATTGTGCGCCCCAAATGTGTGTTAAAATAGAAATGATCTTTGCTTTCAAGAAGCTTACAGTGAGAGAAGTGGCACTGTTAGTTGCGAAAAGCCTGCCCACCCCCTAACCTCCTGAAGTGTAGATCCTGGCTCCAGCACTTACTAGCTGTGCAGCCTTGGGCCTCAGTTTCCTTGCCAAGAAAATGGGAAAATGAGCCTCGATCCCCTGTGGCTGTTATGACATTAAATGAGTTGATACATTTAATTCAAAACCTTAGAACGGTGCCTGGCATTTGGTAAGCATTCAATAAGTGTGTAATTATTGTAGTGAGACAAAATTCTTACAGATAAACCCATACAAGGCAGTTTCAAAGTGTCCTGTGAGGAATGGGCAGTTTACAGGGTTTGACAGCGGGCTCCGTCACCCAAGACTGTGCCTTAACTACCAGCTTTTGAATGTGGTCACCGTGTGCTGGGCACCCTGCTGAAGACTGTGTACGTATTTCTAATCCCTCAGTCGTCCTTGTAGGTGTTTTTCTTCCTGTGGGCCAAGGCAACCTAGCCAGTAACTGATAGATTTAGGACTCTAACCTAGGTAGGCTTTAAACCCAAGCCAACTTTAAAGCCCCTAACTACAAAGTTACACGGCTTTCTCCTGGAACCAGTTCATGTGTGGGCACATGCAAAGGGTACGTACAGGGAGATCTAAGTTTCTCTGACCGTGTGCTACCTCAAGTGCGCGTCTTCTGCCGGTGTACCTCGTAACTTTTGATCTCCTTAAGAAATCTCCTAAGTAACCCAGAGGTTTTGATCTTCCGTGTTGGATCTTTGAGATAACAAACGTTATTTCCTGGGGTTTGACCTGTGTTTTCCTGGGATTAATATCAAGGAGTGGATCCTTGCCCTGGGTATCGAATATTTTGTCTGATTTTCTCCTTCATCTTAAAAGAAGTAGCACATTTTTGTGCCGCTTTACTCTGGACAGCTTGTGGGTCGTGACATTCTGGAATTCGAAGAACCATTATTATAGTTAAAGGGTAAGTACCGAAAGTGACAGTGGAGGGTTGGTTGTCAGTGACATTCGCATCACTGTGGAGAGCAGTTTACCCTAGAAGATGGGGATTTGGTCACTGACCATTGACTGAAAGTAACGAGGCTTGAGGGCCATACAGGGGTTGTTAAAATAAAAATGCTGAGCACATCAGTGTTTACAGAACATTTTCGTATCCTGTGATCAGCATCTTTTAGCTTATAGGAAGGGACTTTTGACTTGTGTTTATTTTTTTATTTTTTATTTTTAAAAAAATTTTTTAACGTTTATTTATTTTTGAGACAGAGCATGAACGGGGGAGGGTCAGAGAGAGGGAGACACAGAATCCGAAACAGGCTCCAGGCTCCGAGCTGTCATCACAGAGCCCGCCGCGGGGCTCGAACTCACGGACCGTGAGATCGTGACCTGAGCCGAAGTCGGCCGCTCAACCGACTGAGCCACCCAGGCGCCCCGACTTGTGTTTATTTTTGTGTATTTAAAGTTAAAAAAATTCCAAGTAGCGTTCACAAGTCTTTCAAGAAGTCAAATTGCTGAAAAGCTGATTAAGATCCGCGGGCCCTAAACACACCCATCCCATCTGATCTGATTCCCTGAGAACAACCACATCCTACTGAAAACTTTCTTCTCATCTTTACCTATCTGCTTTTACCTCTTGGACACCATGTAGTGACTGGAGGTCGCCACTAAGGGCTTTGAGTTTTTTCTGTGCTCTCCCCTGCGTTTCTTTAGACTCCTGCTACAGTGGTATCATAACTTCTTGCCAAATCCTTATTTAGGGTCTTCGTTTTTCTAGGTCTAGAAATATTTCTGGCTGCTGATTCAAGTAGGGTTCTAGGATTTCATTTTTTTTCTTGTATAGCTTTCCATTTTTCTGTTGCTGAGGAAACGCTTCCTTTTCCCCATTTGTCTCATTCCCCTTGCGTCTTGCTGGTGGGTGTTGACTCTCCGGCCGCAGCCTGCAGGTGACTTCCGGCAGGTTGACCGGCCAGGTTGCTGTCTGCTCTGTTGTCTGTTTTCCGGGACACCTGGGTCCCGGGGCCCGTCCCTCTCTGCCCCAGGCCCGTCCGCTTTCTCACAAAACCTCCAGCATGGCTTTCATCCTATGTGGGGGTTTGTGTTCGGTTTCATTTTTGGTGGACTTTTGTTGAGCGGGTGGTAGGTGCCAGACGTCTGACGGGCCGCTTAATTGTCACACCAGCCCTGGGCGTGGGGATTGTTCTTCCCGTTTTAAAATTGAGGACACTCTGGTTTTGAGCAGTGAAACCTCTTGTAATTGTTAGAGAAGTTGGTTTCAGCCTGGGTTCCTCCTGTTCAGCGCCCTCTTTGCTCTTGGAGGCCTTTTTTGTTTATTTAATATATACATATATATATATATATACACACACACATATATATATATATACATATATATATACACATATATGTATACACATATATATATGCTTATATATATGCTTATATATATATATAA